GATGTGGGTCCCAGGTCCCAGACGTTTCTTGACCCATTTTCCCTCTAGTTAAGGACATTCTATGATGCTCCTGCTTCCACATTGAAATCTGCCCAGAATTCAGAGGAAGGCTAAGACTGATCTGTCAGATTGATCATTCAGGATTTCTGCTGCATGTCTTTACTCTTCGTGACGCTGCCAGTGCAAGGGACTCTGGGCTTACGTGTATCTCCACAACCCTCTGTTCCCTGACTAGAGAATGACTGAACTCACCATGTTATAGCTTCATGGATAAAGCCAGCCTGATCACCAAACTCACCAGACCCAAGATCATCTCTACTACTGTCGCTTCTGTGACTTGGGGCTTTTCCTTAAAGCCTTGCTGAGACACCCCTCCAACCCCTGACCATGTAAATCTGCAGCGTTCTCCCAACCCCCATGTCTCAATGGTCCCTGGGGCCTGTTCCGTTCCGTTAGCACTAAGCCATACTCTGCCTCCATCACCTGGAAAGCCAAGTGGGTAGATGGTAGGAGGTAAAGTGAGCAGGACCAGGAACCTGGGGGCCTGGGAGGACATTCCGGCTTGAAAGCGTCTTGCTGCCTCCTCTAGCCTGAGTGATAAAGTGACTGTCCTACAGCTCTCTCTCTCCTCACCTCTCACCTTCCCCTGCCTAGTAGGAACAAAAACAGAAGGCATTCTGACTGCTGACAAATATGTGTGGTTTTGGTCTTGGGAAATCAGGAACTGTTCCAGGGAAAGGAAACTGCCAGTGTTCTGGTCCACGGCCACCAAGGAGGATGTGGGACTAACTGATGGGAACCTGTAATCCCTGCACTTCTGTTTGGGTGAAGATCCACCCTTCCCAGTCAGTTAAAGGCTGCATTGTCAGATACTTTTTTTGTGCATTAGCTAGAGATAAACCCAAGCATTTCTGGAAGCTTTTTCCTACATTCTTTTTCTTCCTAAGTTTTAAGACCTAAACCGAAAACACCAAGAGTCTGAGAAAGTGTGGGAGATCTAGAGCCCTAGATTTGTGTAAGCATCCCTGGCAAGAAACTTCGGGGAAAAAATAAGCAAATCCAAGGTAAGAAGGGATCCGGGAGAGATTAAACACTAAGTCCGAATTCGTGAGGAATATCAGGCCACTTGGAAGTAGTGTTGTTGAGAGTGATGCTGTTGAGCGCCTTCCTTGCACCAGCTGCTCTTATGCGTGACCTCACTAGTCCCTGTGCAGCCCATCAGGGAGTGGGAATTATCTCATTTTATAGGCAAAGAAGCTGAAGCCTCAGGAGGCTGGATAACTTCTGTTGTTGGAGGTGCCAGAACTAGGCTTTGGACTCCTCCCTCCGGTCTGCTGGCTTAAGATTCCTTTGGAAGAGTTCAGCTCTCTTCTTTCCATCCTGTGTCCCCATTTTGCCCATCTCCCCTGCCTTCATGTTTACTCTTTTGCACACATACCTAGTTTTGGGGCTAAGGAAGTTGTTTGCCTTGCCCCTCTTCCTGGCAGAGGTGGGTCAGAAAGGGGTCCCAAAGTCCAGCCTGCAAGGGAGATGTGGCCTGATGCTGGGACCCCCTAAGCAACCTCCCAGTGGTCCCTGTGCATGGCTCAGAGCTAGAATGGTTGTGCAGAGCAGGAGCACAGCTCCTGACTTCTGGAGAAAAGATGGTATTCGTTGTAGCCCTCCAGACACACCTGTGCACACCCCCTTTTCAGTCACTCGGGCTCACCCTCCACCATCTCCCTGACCAGGTGTCCAGCTGTTCTCTGGACTGAAGCACAGAAGGAAACCAAGCTCTTGTCAGCTGGTGAACCAGGCCTGTGGGGTAAGGGCTGGCAGGGGCACTGGGCTGTGGCTCCCTCAGCCTTTGCTCAGCCTCTACCCAGTCATGGCCTCCTTGAGGCCCAGCCTCCCCCTCTAGCTACCAGATGAACAGACAGTATAGTGGTGAAGAGCTCCAACTTTAGAACCAAACATGCCTGGTCTGCCACCTCCAGGCTCCATGGCTCTAGGCAGTGCAGCCCACGAACTCAGTTTCCTCCCCTCTACCGAAGAGACTGGAACAGCACTCACCCCTGGTGTTAGGAAGGTTGCATGAGAACTGTGTGTGGAGCACTGAGCCCAGCCCAGTGCCTAAAGCCTGGGAAGACTTTCATGGAGGTATGTTGCTTTCCTGATGTTGTGTCATCAGGAGCTGAGCTGTGCATGCTACTGCTACCACCTCAGTACCTTGCACTGCGCAGCCCAGGGGTCTCCTCCAAGGAAGATCCTTCAGATACCCAGATGACCCTAAGTGAGCTTAAACTCTCGCACAGAAACGATCCCTGAACCCTCAGAGCGTCTTTGCCAGTAATTGCTTCAGAACAGGCGCTTCATGGTCAGAGTGTTTAGGGGAGCTGTGGTGGATTTGTCACCCACCGGGAGATTTGACGCTTGCTATCTCAGAAGCAAAATGAGAACAGGATATGGTGAATGGTTAAGGTTACAAAGCCACCTTGCGCGTGGGCTTCCCCAAGATCTCTGCCTTCAGCTGAATACAGAGGTGACAGGTACCCTGTGGCTTGTCAGTGGCAGGAAACCTTCCTAGAGCCAACATTTCTGGGCAAAGAAAGGCTGTTTAGTGAGGTTGTAGTCCTAGCTCTGTTGTATGAGCTTTGGCAGGCATTAATCTGTCTGAACTAGTTTTCTCATCTGAAAATGGGGATGATAGTGCCAGGCCTCCTACAAAATGGCATTAGTTACCAGGGACCAACAGGGACTGGGCAGCTGGAAGGGGGTGCTGCTTTGAGAGCCCCTTGGAGGAGGAGGCCAGAGTGACTTCCCTGACTACTCCTGGTCCCCATCCTCTTTGTTTTGCCTCCACCCCTCCAGTAGGGGTAGCTCCAGGCTTTTCTCTTCTGTGGTACCATCTCCTCAGTCCAGAACACCCATGGAGGACACGTGGGCCCCTAGCTCCCAGGTAGCCCCTAGAGTCAGTGTCATCTTGTGTTCCCCACATCTCAGATGATGTGGCCATTAGTGGCCTCTGCCATATCTCTAAAGGGGTTGAAGCCCATAAGTACTGCAGCCACCCCCAGGTGTTGGGAACTTGGTAGGGAAATAGGGAAAGAGCACATCCTTTACCCTCCAACCCTGAGGCCACACCAAGGCAGTATGTACTCAAGCAGAGCCCACACCCAGCCTGATCCCCTCCCACCAGGCCTCCGACACCATGTGCTGGTGTGGACAAGTGGAGGGGAGAGCCAAGTGGAAGGGAGAAGGGTAGGCTGAGGCTGGGAACTGGCTCTGCCCTGCACATGACCTCAGTCTCCTCTGTGGAATGGAGCCTGTACCAAGAGCATCTTCTGCTTCCTGGGCTGTGGTGTGGATGGAGTGAAATCAAGACATGAAGGCCTTCTGTAATCTGCATGTGCTGTGCCAGCGTTTATTCCCCTACCCAGGGGAAGGGGTTGGAAAACTGACCTCTGCTCCAAAGAGTGGCAGGTAAGGGCCCAGAGGCATAGGATCAATTAGTGGCTGAGGAGGCAGGGAAGGCAAAGAAAGATTTTGCTGCTGTGCTGTTCCTGGGGCCAGGCAGGCAGGGCTTTCCTAAGCTACAAAAGGCCAGTGCAGGGACCCTGGGAGGGGGCGGGCACCTGGACAGGGAAAGTCCCACGGTCCCAGGTGGCTGCTTTTCTGTTACTGTGGCCAGGCAGGCCCAAGCATGGTGCTCACAAGCACCCCAGGAGGGAAGGCCACCATGAGCCAATGGCGTAGGTGGTGAACCAGGGCTTGGGTCAGGGGTGCTGCATCACCTGCACAGGGGTACACAGTGGTGGAGCTGTCACTGAACACTGAACACTGTCAGAGTGAGCCCAGAGCCTGCATTCTCATCACATCTTGCTGCCTCTCTCCATGGGGACTCGTGGAGATGCTGCCGGGCCCCGTCTCCTGACTCTACTTCTGCCTCTGTCCTTTGGGCCAGGACACTGTCAGGCAAACCAGGGACTGGTGCCCCCTGTCAGAAGTGTTCTATGTTAACTTGAATGCACAAAGGGGGAATGACAGAAACTCTCTTTGAAAGCCACTTAAAAGATAAATGTTGCCTTGTCACCCTAAAAGGGCAGATTTTGTAGTTGAAGGAAGCACTCGGAGGTCCGTGTGACCTGAGTACAGTAAAACTCTGCTTGTAGATGCGTTTAGGCATGTTTATGAAACAGTAGTAGGATCATGTGGCTCTGAAAGGCCCAGCCTGTGCTCAGCTGTACAGGTGCACACGGTATGCCACACACCTGGAAGGCACGATATAAACCCTCCCTTGCCTCGCTAACCCACAGGGCTGACATGGAGGGCTTCCATTTTGTGTCACCAGTTCTTGTAAGAAATAATAACTACTGCTATTTTTTGGACCTTTTCTCCCCAAATGCAAACTGTGCCAAGTGTTTTACATGCAGTGTCTCAGGTATTCACACCAACCTGTAGAGGTGGTGCTGTTATGATCCATGTTTCACCAAAAAGAAAGGAAACAGGTGCTCAGAGGCTGAGTTTCGCCCAAGGTCTTACAAACTGGTGAGTGGCAGGGATTCAGCTCTGGTCTATTCAGCCCCCAAAACCACACTGTTAGGTCCGTTCTGGCCTGCCTCTCTGTGCATTCCAATTAGCTGTTGTCAGTTGGTTCTCCGTATTTGGTGAGTGATTTGGGGATACATAAGCCCAAAAAACATCTTTAAGCCTATTGAACAGACTGCCAGGATTTAATAAACATGCATAAAATCTGACATTTAAAACTATGCCTCATCCTGTGACCACATTCTAGAAGTTAAACAAATGTGCCCCACACTTTAGACAGGAGGTTAGAAACCACAGTGAAAGAGCAGGGTTGTTATCACTGGTATATTCCATTTCCATGATAGAGCACAGCCGTGAAAGTTTACAATTTATTTTCCGTGCTCTGAGCCCAAAAGTAACTTTTTTATATATTCCAAAAAAGTATATTCCAGGCACACCACATTAAAATAGAATATACCAAAGCATAAAAGTAGTTTGGAGACTTTAAAAGTTTTATTTCTTAGCTATGAAACTCATATGCTAGTAATATACAGCATATGTGTATATGTGTGTGTATATACATTTACATATGTTTATATGGCAGACATTGGAAAATTTCATTTTTAAATGAGCAAAGCCACTAAAGAGTCCACTTCAGAAATGCTACTTAGATTCATTACAGTCTTAAATGCCGTTTTCCACATTTTTCAAGCATTCCATGGACCACTGGAATTCTCAGCCTATTCTAATTTGATTTTGCCCATTCATAGTCCCTGGTGCTAGTTATTCTGGACTAATCAAAGCAATCTGAACATCTACCTATACAAAAGTCAAGCCCTAAGGTGAGGCAGAGCCTGATCTCATTTCTGTTAGGTGCCTGGTGGTGCCAGCATTTGTTTCCATGGCTGCTCTGATCTCCACTGTTTGCCCAGTAGTCAGAAGAGCCTTCTGAGCTTGGGCACCCAGCGTGCTACCTACCACCAACAGCTTTGTTGGCTGTGCTCACCTCTTCAACCTTCAGCCCCAGTCCCAATCAAGGAGAACCTGAGATCATAGAAGTCACATGTCATCCCCCTGGATTTCAGCATTCTTGGAGATGGAGGAAGGAAAGTCCTTAAAAATTTTAGACCCCCTACTTGGGCTTTCGGCATGAGTGTTCAAGAAGAGAACAGTACATGTTCATGCCTGAGAAGAAGCATTCCAAACCAGAGTGTCTGATAACTTTTCCATGAGAATGCGCAAACTATAAACAAAGCCTGCCTCACCACATAAGAGGACACAACCATGCCTTGCAAATTCCAGAGCAGCTTCTCGAAATGCTGGCAAGGCCTATAGCTGGAACATGCTGGTGGCCTCCACATTGTGGGAGGCAGAAAAAGTCTTGGAATTGTCCTCAGAAGATTTCCATTGATGTGAGACCCCAAGGTAAGGGAGACAGCCAATGTCCTTCACAAGTTTCCAGAAGTTCTTTCGAAACTTCAGGCTGACAAACGCATAGAGCACAGGGTTAAGGCAGGCCCTCAGGTATGCGATGGCCTCTGTCACTATGATGGTGTAGTGAAAGCTGGTCATGGCATAGTACTCCCAGTGTGTGCTGCGGATGAGCTTCACGAGGTTGAAGGGCGTCTGGGTCAGCAGGAACACAGCCATCACCAGGAAGATGATCTTTAGAGATCTGTGCTTCTGGAAGCCTCCAGCATGAAGCAGTGTTTTGATTATGACTGAATAGCAGACAATCATGGCGAGCAGTGGCAAGAAGAACCCCAGTGTCATCTGGGTGGCAAGAACCACAGTGGAAATCTCCTCATCATGATAACCACATATGAGCTTGTCCAGATTAAAGACATTGCCATAGATAATTTGGGGCAAGGAAACCAGCAGGGATATCACCCAGATGAGCAAGCAGATGACCTTGCCCCAAGTCATCCTCTTGGCTTGCTGGTTATAGGCCTTGGTGGCCTTAACCACTACAATGAAACGATCCACAGTGATGCAGGTGAGGATGAGCATAGATGTGTAGAAGTTAATAGTGTAGATACCCAGTAGGGTCTTGCACATGACCTGGCCAAAGATCCATTCATGGATGCCTGCATAGGCCCAGAAGGGCAGAGTGCAGACAAACACCAGGTCAGCCAGGGGTAGGTTCACCAGGAACACGTCCGTCAGGCTCTGTAGCTTATGGTAGAAGATGGATATGACCAGCACCAGGGAGTTCCCCACCAGGCCACAGACAAACACCACCAGATACATGCAGGGCAGAAAGACCTTGCTGAACTGCAGGAAGTCCTGATGCTCCTCCTGGCTGCTGTCATTGAAACTGTTGAAGAACCCATTATCTTCATAGTGATCATACTCTGCCATGGTGTTTGTTCTGATGAACACCTGTGAGTCAGAACCCAGGAATTATATTTGGGGCTGAGGATGGCATTCTCTGTCTTCCTGCTGTCCCATTGACCACATTTAGGGAGCAAATAGTCATCTCCTAAACCCACCCACTAGGCTATGTAGAAACAGCACAGTCCAGTATAATGAAGATAATCAATCCTGAGGGGAAATTGCTCAGACAGGACAAGGACTCTCCATTAGCCTGAAAATTCTCAGGATCTCACCCATGTGGGAGACAACTCATAACTGACCCCTAAGCACATTCCATAAAATCCTGTGCTCAATTATTTTGAAAGCAAAAGTCGCTTTGCTGCCAGGTGGGCACAGTGCTCTTTGGAAGAGCAACACTGATAATGAATGGTTGAGCCCGCTGATAATCTGGGTGTTAGTGGATGAGCCCACTGATAATCTGAGCTCATCAATGGGACATGCCTGTTTTCATCTCCCCCTGCCTCACCACAGTTGCCCACCCATCCTGAGCCCCATTTCCTAATAAATTGTGAAAGCTAAAGCAAGTGCCCCTACCAGGGGGCTCTCCTATCAAGGAGACTTCTGGAGACCACAGGTGTTTGGGGATGGCAAGACTGCTCTGCATGGGTAGGTAGTCCTTCCTGCCTTCCCCTCAATTGCATAGATTTTCAAAGGCTACTAATGGGGAAACAAGGGATAGAAAAGCCCACGGCTGCCCAGCACTTTGGCTGAGCTGGCTTCATGGATAAAGCACTGGGTGGTTCTCACTTCCCAACTAAACTTTCCCCTTCATCATCTAACACAGTTTATGGCATTCCACCATCAGAGTCTCATTTCCTGAAGACTTCTGAGCAAGAAGTCTCTTAAAAGGTAGATTTCCCCAAAGCAGAACCTTGCCTTAGCTCCTGTGATTGGCAGGTTAGGACTTAGGGGCCTCTTTTAACACGCAGAAGACCCAATTGAAATGGGGTGCCAGATGGGCTATCTTTCTTACCCAGGGCACCAGCCCTTCAAGATGTCACTTCTCTCTGACCCTTCCCTCTGCCCTGTGACCCTGCCAAAGACCACAGACAGGACAAGGGATCATGTAACCTGTGGTGTGGGAGCAGGGGCTGCTGCGTCAACATCAGCCCATGAGTGCGAAGCCTGCCCTTGCTACTGACCTGCAGATACTCAACATGCAGCAGCTCATTTCCAGTGACCTGGAACTATGTCTGGCCAGCACCTCAAGAAGATGTATGAAGAAGAGTAGGTGTTTGGACAGAATCTCTGCCAGCAAAGTCAAAATATTGCCTGACCAGACAAGGGCATATAAACAATGAGGTTACCTTTCCTAATCCACTCAGAAACACTTCTGTCCCTGACGTTGAGTCCTGACTGGGAGCAGTGTCTCCGATGCTGCTGCTTGCCTCTGTCTTTCCAGGGGCCAAAGTGCCCTTTCTCTCTAGCAAGGAAGGATGCTGCCTTTGGGCTAAGACTGCTTAATAACAATCCTTGCCCTTACACCACAATTGTTAGATCTCTAGAGCTTGCCCCCAACAAGCTCTCTGGGGCACTATATTAAGTAGGTCAGATGATGCATTTGTGTTATTGATTCACAGGGGCAAAAACACATTTTTTCGTCATTTAAAATATGAAACAGGTGACTTTGCTCTTAAGAGTAGTGTCCAGCTCCCCATTATTGCTTGACTCACTCTTGCCTTTTTTTGGTATCCTCCTGTTCCAGCTTTTACTGGTCCCTTATGCTGCCATTACACATTTCATCAAAGGACCTGTGCAAATTCATGTGTAATAATTGGTAAACTTTGATGTATAATAATTGGTAAACAGGTTGGGCCTGGACAGTGCTGTGCAAATAGAGTATTAAAAATTACTTCCCCTTCTAAGCGAACTAAAAACATTTATCTTCTATAATCAAAATCCTATTTTGTTTTCTGAAAATTAAAAAAAAATCTACAACTTTGGAAATAGTGTAAAAGTCTGATAATGATGAAGCAAATTATAATTCAAACATAAAATAGAATATGACTTCAATGTTTAGGAAGTATTTTTACTGATTTTGGAAAATGCAGTACTCTTAGTTAAATTGCTAAGAACAGTGTAAACAAGGTAAGTATGCAAAATAAGTATTAGCTATTACTATTACAACAAATAGATGTCAAAAGGATATAAAATTAATTGTGATTCATAACCTTTTTTGACCATAAACTCCTTTGAGAATCTCCTAAAAACTACAGCCCTTTTCTCAGAAATAATGTATACACACACACACACACACACACACACACATGCACACACAAATACCCCTGCAATTCTGGGAGTCCATGAACCCCTTGGATCCCTCTGCCATGTATTCTGTGGGCCCTCATTTAAGAGTTCATGATAAACGACGTGATTTTTGACTGACCCTACTTTTAGAAACTTGGAAAAAATGATCACATTTTATTAACAGTTGGCCTCCAGCTGGTGGAATTATGGATGACTTATTTCTTCCTTTTTTACAAATAGTTTTCAAAGTTTCTACAGTAGTATATTGATTTATATTGAAAAATAACATAAATGATCATCTGAGAAAACAGCCTGTCTTATGCAAAAGAAATGAAAACAGATTATCCATTGAGCAAATATAGACAATAACTAGATCCTCCTTATCTCCCTGGGTGGGTCTGACTATGCCATGACTAGCAGTACCATCAGCCTACAGGCACTAACTGTGTGCCTGGAAACATGTTCAGTAGTTTTCATGTTTCTCCAGTTTAACCCACACAGTAGCAAATGGCAGTGATGTAATTTGAACTAAGAGCAGCTGAGCTCCATAGCCTGGCATTGTGCACTGTGCCCTACTACAGACAGGAATCAGAGAATACCAAGAATACTTGGGGTTAGTCCTCCCTGTCTTCTTTTCAGTGGAAAGAGTAAGACAAATAACTCACCAGCAGAGGTGCGTTGCCGGTTTGTTCCACAGATGAGCTTGCTCGTGAAGCAAGGTCTGCCTCTATTTTTGTGATGTGGTTCATGCTTCCGCTGAACATTTTTTAAGAGCCCTCAGCTGGCTACTATAAAAGACCCACCCCCTACTCCCATCCTTCAGATCAGAATCCATATGACCAACCCGCCCCTGTGTAGTGCGTGGGTCAGAGATGGGTGGGTTACTCTGATACCCCACACCCCCTTCATTCTGCTTTGGGGCTGATTCTTCTGTCAGGGCCTGACAGGGCTTTATTCATAAACTAAAGGGGAACAATAAGGAGGTTTGGCTCTGGCCATCCACCAAAGATGGTGGCATTTGTACCTTAAAATTACTTCATTCACTAGTCAGACATCTTTTTGGAACAGTTGGGGTCTGGGCCAATGCTAAGTCCATGGCATGGGCTGGGTTCTGTGTGCACATGTAGCTCCAGCATATGTGATAGCTGTTAAGCCCCAGAGCAGCCCTGCAGTCGATATTATCCTTCCTTTATAGATGAGAACACTGAGGACCATAGCCAAAATAACAGCCCTCGGTGCACACAACTAGAAACTGGCAAATCGAAGATACACACTCAGGTCTCTGTCATTACCAGACCAATCAACAGGATGATGATGAGTCTGCCAGAGGGCCTGGTGCAGCGCTCCCTCCTAAGCCCACACCACTCAGGCACCTCAGCAAGCAGTGCCCACCCACCCTGCCTAGCCTGGCTGGAATCATCTGGTTTCCTTGGGCTGCCCTCTCTACTCCTAGAATTCCCCAGATGTTGACTACTTTGATCTCAGTACAGTTCTAGTTGTCAGTCTCCATGATCTAACATTACTGACCCTTCTGGGAAATAACGCTGGAAGGCAGGAATTAGAGGCATGTCAGCCTGGGTCACATGCCCCAGTGCCTCCTCGTGGAGAGGGTACTAGGGAGAGGCATGTACTCCGATGTCTGCTTTCCCAGAAGCAACTGCTCTCTTGTGGAGGTGCCTGGCCTCCCTTCTCTGGCTCTGCACTACCATTCAGGTTGCTTCTCTCCAATGCTTTTGCTCTCTCCCACCTCCTAGGCAAACCTCATGTGGCTCTTCTAAGGGCAAATGTCAAGCATTGGGAGCACGGACCAGGAGCAACCTCAGGATCCAGAGACTAACACTCAGTTCTACTGCAAGCCTGGCCCTATGCTGGATGCGTCTATGTACAGCCATCTAATCCTAGTCACTTACAGATAGACAAACAGAAGACTAGAGAGATTAGCCCACTTGCCCAAGAACACACATCCCCAGCAGTCACCCAGGACTGTCAGGCTGCAAAGCCAGTGCTTCCTGCCCTGCTCTGAGTATGGAGCTATGCCAGGGGGCCTGGAAAAAGATCTGAAGAGCTCTAGTAGGTTTGCAGGTGTTTTTTTGAATGAATTCGTTCAGACTGTCCTTTCTACCAAACTGGTACAAATGAGTGAGGTGTTCCTTATGGGCATGAACCATGAGGCCGCATAGACTATACACTGATGGACAGATGGATGTAGGGAATGGTGGACAAATGAATAGAAGAACAGACTGAGCCAAATATGCACCTGTCTTCCTGAAAGAGACCTTTCAAGGCAGGGTGGCAATTTAAAGTAACCCTGCCTGACATTTAGGAATCTTTCAGCTTTGAGAGCTGAGTTTTACCCAGGGACAAGCCAACCATGCCATTCAAGACAGGTCCACAGGGCAGTGTTAGAATGGCCTGAGCCTTGTCAAGCACCCTTGGCCGTGCTCTTCTCAGCAAGCCTTTCTACTCCATGAGGAAAAACAAACCAGCACCTGGCGCCCTCCATGACTGTGTGTACGTGTCAATATGGGGATACGTGTATTTGAGAAAGCATGGCTTGTTTATCATGGCCATTCTTTAATAGAAACTTCTCTGTAGTACAAAGACTTGCACCTATATTTGAGGAGCTGAGCCACTCGCAGGTTTGGGGCTAAAATTTTATTTTAATCGCTTTACAAAACGCCTTTTACTATCTGCCAATTTGTAGTGTTAATTGTTTTAAGGGCATTACTTTTATTTGAAACTAAACTTGCTAAGGGTGGGAACCCAATCATATATGTCTTAGATTTCCCCAGAAATACCTAAACATTTTCTAAATAAAATTGAGGGAAGAGTAAAAGGGAAGTGGCAGACACACCTGCTGCAGATTTATCTTGGAAGTCAGACTGTTGGCCTGCTCTCCTTACCTGAAGACCTGGCAGAGCTGTTAAGTTATCAGTTCCAGGATCCAGGGATGAGACATTTATTGCTGTTGGCAAGGCATTGGTGAATGATGGGCTGTGATCCACAGAAAAGTAACCTAACCAGCCAGGCGTGGCAGTGGGCACCTATAATCCCAGTACTCGGGAGGCTAAGATGAGAGGATCATTTGAAGCCCAGGAGTTTGAGGCCAGCCTGGGCAACATAACCAGCAGACCTGTACCCCTGCAAGCCACCAGGATGAGCTGAGAGATCAACTGGCAGGAGCAAAGCCACTATAGCTGAGAGGAATTGTTCTGGAGGAACAGTTTTTCTATAGGCAGGAGAGCAGGAGAAGGAAACCGGTTACAGGGTTTGACTACCTCCAGCAGAAGAAGGTGAGTTGTAGAAGTGTCCTACCACTAGAGAATGTGTCTGAGTCACGTGGCACCAAAGTATGTTAGCAGCAGCAAATCCATACGGGTCTGCAGCAACTCGAGTCTTGCCTCCTTGGAGGAAAGAATTTGGTCGAGGGGCAGAGGTAGGTTTAAGGCAGAGGGAGAAACTAAGGCAAGTTTTAGAGCAGGAGTGAAGGTTTATTAAAAAGTTTTAGAGCAGGAACAAATGGAAGTAAAGTATACTTGGAAGAGAGCCAAGCAGGTGACCTGAGAGATCCAAGTGCCCCGTCGGGCCCTTGACTTGAGGTTTGATACATTGGCATGGTTCCAGGGTTTGTGTTTCTTCTCCCCCGACTCTTTCCTTGGAGCAGGCTGTCCACAGGCAGGGCGGCTTGCCAGCACTTGGGAGGGGCTGCATGCTCAGTGTGTTTACTGGAGATGTACGCATGCTCACTTGAGGTATTTTTCCCTTATCAGTCGTTTCTAGAGGAAGGTCATATACCGGTTAAACTCTGCCATTTTGCCTCTTAATGTGCATGCTTGAGCCCACTCGCCCAACTCCTGAGATCTTAGGAAGCTGCTGATTACCCGCTTCAGATGTTTTCTATCTATTGGGAGACTCTTTCTCTGGCTCTGGCTGCAACCAGTTATTTTACAGAGACAGCTTAACAATTGCCTGACCATTACTTGACAGTCATCTGACATTCCTGGGGGAGGGGGGCCCTCTCCTGCCCTGCTCATGCCTGCCTAGCTACCTACTCTAACACTAGGAATTTATAAGCAATGGATTAGCAAAGTAAAATCAAGTTAATACAATAATAATAATTTGATAGCAAAACTAAAATATGCCCCCAGATCACAGAGTGAATAGGATGTGTGTGGTGTGGTTCAGCCCAACCTTCCAAACCTGCACTGTTCAGTGGAGCCTTCTGCTGTGAGAGACCTGTGCTGTACCCGCACTGCCCAACACAGTGGCCACCAGTCCAGGTGATAATTGAGCACTTGAAATGTGGCTAGTGCAACCAGGCAGCCACATTTTTAGTTTAATTTATCTGATTAATTTAAGTTTATATAGCCACATGTGGCTAGTGGCTACTGTATTGAAGAGTGCAGTTCTAAACTGAAGACATCTCCATTTCAGAGGAGACTGTTCGCAGATGGAGGCTGACCAGAGGGAGGATAGGAGCCTGTGTAATCAGGAAAAGCAACATTTCTCACTCTGCGGGGCTTAGCGAGGCTGAGGAGAGATGGCGCCCCCTGGGGCAGATTGGCAGCAAGGCACCTTGGGCCATAGGGATTTTCCAGGCATCCCTTCCTCCCTCCGCTAGTTTCTAAACCAGCCGACCTGTACCGCAGGCAGTCTGCAGGATTAAAGTTGTGCAGTAATTACACAACAAACAGGCCGAGGCCATTTGATTCGTGACAGGGAAGGACTATAGACTTCCATTTGTAGAGACCAAGCTGGAGGGGCTCCACCATGACTCAGAGAGGTGTGGACTCCAGGACTGCAGTGCCAGGGGCCACCTGGTTTGTGCTCACCACTTTATTCTGACTCGCTTCTAATGCGGAGCCTTGGGTATGTCCTCCTTTGGGAGCATTTGGGACAGAAGAAAACCTTACTCTGAGGCAAATAATGTAGACATTCACTGGGCATGGGCTGTGTGCACAGCAGGCTGCCCAGGAATGCCAGGATGGCACCCACAAAGGGACAGACAAGTTGACGGACTGGAACGTGTGTTCGAGAGATATTGATCTCAGCTGACCACTGGCTCCAGACAAAAACTCAGACGGAAAGGGTGGCATGCCATCAGCCAAGCTAGCAGTAGGCTGCCATGACCAGAGCAAGGGGAGGAGGAAGGCCGCGTGGGCAGTGAGTGTCTGGTATCTTCGCTGAGACTGCCTCCATAGCAAGGAACGGAAGCAGCTCTGGTAGGAGGTGGGGTGCCCTCTAGTGGTCATGCTTTGGTTACCGTCATTTCTCAAGCTCTTAAATCCCTTGACATCCTCTGAGTTGCTTCAACATTTTCTACAGTATCTCACGGTAAGAAATACATTTTGCATGGCTACCTCGTGTGCATGTGTGTACACATACGGTCAAAACAAGAGCCTCAAGGCTGGCCGCAGTGGCTCATGCCTGTAACCCCATCACTTTGGAAGGCTGAGGTGGGCCGATCATGTGGTCAGGAGATTGAGACCATCCTGGCCAACATGGTGAAACCCCGTCTCTACTAAAAATACAAAACTTAGCTGGGTGTGGTGGTGCATGCCTGTAATCCCAGCTATTTGGAAGGCTGAGGCAAGAGAATCGCTTGAACTGGGGAGTTGGATGTTGCAGTGAGCCAAGATGGTGCCACAGCACTGCAGCCTGGCAACAGAGCAAAACTCCGTCTCAAAAACAAACAAACAAACAAAACCCAAGAGCCTCATAAATACTTATCCTCACAACATGCAATAT